ATTATTATTATACAGTTCTAGAATGTTTTTGGTAATCAATAAAAAAATTATATTCGAAATGAAAATTAGAACTTAATCCAATTCAGTCTAAAATAAGTTTAACAATTTCATTTTACAGTAGGCATCAATAGTTTTTACCATGGAGTCATAAGCTAGTTGAGGTGTACGCTATGTGAGCTAAAGTTCCATATTTACAAAATAGAAAGTTAAAAAATCCAAAAAATTTTGAAAATTATAGACGTTTCAATTAAATAACTTGTTCCCAAAATTTAAATCATTGTTGTGTTGGTATTCTATTTTAATCAAATTAACTATTACATCATGTAATACGTACTAAAAATATTTTGAAAATGTTTTGTCTTCGTTTCACTTCCTTAATAATTTCTATAATCGAGATAAATAAATAATAGGAGTAACTATTTTCGGTAATTCGCCCTGTACATAGAACATACAAGATGTGGCACTTACAATAATTAATACCAAAAATCTTCCTCACTCCGGACCTGGCGCTGAACTAAACACCAGACATTTGTAGTAAAACACGTGAACAAGATCGTTCATTCAAATGTTTAATTGTTTAATAATGTTGTACGTTACAATTTTACACAGATCCGTATTCAGAACGGTTTTTTTTAAATCTCCATCTGCCTTAAATTTTTTTGTCACATTGTAGGTCCCACATCCTGTATATATTTAGATTACATATTGCCAGCAATATTTACGATATAATAATTATTATTTCGTTATTAGGTGTCTAAGTTTTTTTTTATTATTTTGTTTGTTTGTTTGTTTATATGGGTTAAAATAATTTCCTAACATCCATCAGAATCCTATGGGTACCCTAACTATTTGCGAAGTCTTCCCCTAATCCTTTTTGTCGAGTATCTGCTTCTAGTATGCCTGTGACTAACCCTTCATGTCTCAAGAGAAGTCTTACTATCCCATGCCACTACCATCCCATCCCTTCTTATCTTCATTGACCTTTATACCGCGCTTTTCCAAATACCTCTTCAATACCAACAGCAACAGTACACATCCTATTATACTAAGCCATTCTTCGCTTTCCCCAAAAACTAGGATGTTCAAAATACCTAACCATCTGCGACTTCCTCCTATGCCTCTTTTTGTCGTGTGTTTGCTTCATGCATGTCCCTAGCTAGTCTTTCATGTCTAAGATGTCATGCCATTCCACGCTATTGACTCCTATGACGCGCTTTTCCAAATACCTCCTCATTTCCAACAGTTTCTACCCACAGCAACTTGTGTAATAGCATTTGATTAACTGTACATTTTCCTATTATACTAAGCCAATCTTTGCTTTCCTCGAAACCTAGGACACTACATCCCTAACTATTTGCGAAGTCTTCCTCTAATCCTTTTTGTCGAGTATCTGCTTCTAGTATGCCTGTGACTAACCCTTCATGTCTCAAAAGATGTCTTACTATCCCATGCCACTACCATCCTATCCCTTCTCATCTTCATTGACCTTTATACCGCGCTTTTCCAAATACCTTCTCAATTGCAGCAGTTTCTACCTACAACAACTTATGTAATAGCATTTGATTAACTGTACAGATTACTATTATACTAAGTCAATCTTCGCTTTCCCCGAAACCTAAGACACAACATCCCTAACTATTTGCGAAGTCTTCCTCTAATCCTTTTTGTCGAGTATCTGCTTCTAGTATGCCTGTGACTAACCCTTCATGTCTCAAGAGAAGTCNAATAAATAAATGGAAATTTATTATCGCGCAACGAGGTTTACATGAAAAATATTGAAATAGATAGTGGTCCTGACGATAAGTGACAACTTCGTAGAATTAAAGGATAAAATATATCATCATCATAAGGTCGTCAGTACTAAGAGTGGCGAGATGATGAGGATACCGTGGGTAGAGAAGGTTAGAAATGAAGAGGTATTGGAAAGAATAGGAGAACAGAGGACTCTATGGAAGTCAATAAGAAATAGGCGAGATAGGTTGATATTAGGGGCAGAAACGGGAGTTAGGAGGGGTAGAGATAGACCTAGATTAGATTACTGTTCGCAAATAGTTAAGGATGTGGGTTGTTCTAGTTTTGGGGAAATACGAAGATTAGCTCAGGATAGGAAAGAGTGGATGTGCGTATCCAACCAGTCTTAGGACTGACGATCTTATGATGATCAAAATTGTGAATATGACATGATTGTTGTTCAAAAGAAGCCATTATGAGATGTTTGAATAAAATAACTGATTCTTACCTGACGTAGCCTCGTGGTTGAACATGGCCCTATGCTCTTCCAATTGTTTGGCGCTACAGAGGGGTGTATCCACCTCCACCGTATTATTAAAAAGTGCATAATCCACCTCATATTCGCCAGTCAACTTTTTAAAAGTGACCAAGGTCTGAAATCGATGACCCCATAAGATTTCTGATGGCAAGTAGCTTGACCTCGCTTGCGTGGTCATACCGGTCGATTCAATAACACCCTCTGAAACAAAAAAAAAGCTTTTGTAAACCAAAACCCAACCTAAGTCCTTTTTCAGTCCAATCCAAACTTACTTTAACCTTAACCCACAAGATAAATGGAATTAAACCATGTTGTAGCAATTACTTAGTTTGGTATTTCGATATGACGTAAAATTTATATTGTCACTTCTAAAATTAAAATCAAAATGGACCTTCAAATCAAAAGGCGCATGTTTCAATCTTCAAAGACTTTAAGATTAATTTCTTTGATTTCTTCTGTCATGTTTGAAATTAAAAAGAAAACATGTTGTGCAAGCTTAGTATTAGTTAATTTATAACAAGGCTTTGATGATATTCTTTCAAGTCCTTTCTAATGGATTTCGATTATATTTCACAGAATTTGTAATTTGCATATGCTTTAGATATTAATATAAATTGTTTACACATAAGATAAATGCATTTCAGTAGATTGTCAAGATTGTTATTTCCTGTACCAAAAGGTTTCTTAGAAATTACTGAAGTTATTTTCTCATGATAACAACTAATAGACTAGCAAACATGATATGATGGTGTTGATTAAAATAATAAAAAATTGAAGCCTACCTAAAATAACAACAATTTCGAATCGTTCCCTTAAAAGATCTGTAGCAGACATGTTGTACAGGGGTGAACTTCTATCTATTCTATGAACTATAGTAGTGGGCCAAATGAAGAAAATTTTATCTTCTTCGCCATCACAGCCAACCTGAAAAGACAGAGAAGAAACTGAAGCAATTTACATAAATTAGTACCTAAATAAATCTACCGTTTCCATAAAGAAATTAATAGATAATTTTCCAATTTTTCAAAAGCCCCAAAGAAGTCCAGACAACCTTACGCAAAACGTCCGAATACGAAACAGTAAAATAGAAATTCAACGTTAGCCAATGAAAAATCAAAAGTAATTCGCAGAGTACAATGTAATTGTTTATTGTACCCATGGAACGTTATTGGTTAACTTTCACTATCGCCTATTATTTAAGATAATTCTTTAGGAAAACGTTTCAATCGGTACGGCCTTGAACGAAAATAGTTTGCCGTAGTTGGAACGTACGGTTGTATTTTTGGATTCTGCAAAAAGACAACCCCGAAATAGTACTTGAGTTTGTAAATAATTCAGGAGTGATCTCGGAGATTTACCTAAACATTTCAAACTATGTTTTCGTGAAAATAATCTCATGACTAATTACGTAAATAGCAGAAAGAAATACTGTTCGTTTCAAGAACTTAGAGATATGCCCCTTCCCTTTATTAGAATGCGCCGTACCATAATTCCAAATTCAATCATATTTGTCTGCGGAGCTCATTTCTCCACCGATCATCCAGCGAGAGCTAGACAAAAGTATACAGTACCATTTGCAAAATTATTTAAACTGCCTCGTTAAAATTTAAGAATATGCTTTATTGAAAAGCATATTTAGCCAAAAATAATAACCAGTGAATTAACTTAACGTTCTACACACCTATAAAACTTTTGCTTTGTTTTCTATTGTTAATTTATATACATTTTTGTTTTAAGAAATTGCTAAACATTTTCGTCTAGTACTGTACAGTTCTAGCCGATCTCCTAAGACCGCCCATCGAGAGCTCTGCTCGTTNCCTTAACTGTTTGGACACGTACATTCACTTCGCCCTATCCTGAGTCATAGTCTTCATCCAATCTTCACATTTCTTAAAAACTGGACCACCCTAGATCTCCTAACTATTTACGAACAGTAATCTAACCTAAATCTACATCTATGTTAAATGTCTCTAACCAGCCCTTCACGTCTGAGAAGATATCCTATTTCGTCTATTTCTTATTGACTTCAATGATACCCTCAGTTCTCTTACTCGTCCTAATATACCACCTACGTTCAACAATCATTCCCTTTTTTAATTATTTATGAAGGAAAACATAAAGTAAAAAAACATAACTAGATAGATGGAAGCGGTATTGACAATAAACCGTCAATTGCAAAACAGTATTGTATGAAAATAAATAAAAGTAGAAGAGTGGAGGTGCGTGTCGAACCAGTCTTCGGACTGACAACCTTATGATAATGAGATAGTTTTTGAGGTAGGTGCATACGTAATTGAATCTGGCCAAAGTTAGACGCCGCTACTGTTTTTTTGTTAATCTAAATGCATACACGTATGTACTAGCTACCTACTAATAAAAAAAGGCGTTTCCTATAAACGATTGTGGCCACTTATGTATCTATTTTTGTTTATCGAGTGTCGTTATCATCACGAGTGCCTTCTGGAACGTACCTAATTCAAAGCTTTATTGACGCGGTGTGAAGTTAATGAGATTAAGTTTTACGTCCCCATCAGTTTTCCTCTCGGAAAATTCATTTTCATACCTATCGACCCACTTGTTATTAATGGCATGGCTTAAGCTTTAAGCGATCTCTTTACGTCAATGTCTATCATTATTGTTATTTTATCATTGTTTATTATTGCGACAGCAGGTATATATACATGCATCGATACGAGACGTTTTTATCTAATGTTTGAATTACGATAGCCGAAACAAAAATGACAAAAATTAATTCGATAGATTGGATAATGTAATTTAAAAATAAAATAAATCGTGAAACGCTGTACAAGCGACATCTAGTGGTTGATAGACGTAGTTTGACAAGCAATTATTACGCTTTGACTCATACACCTATTGTGAAAGAAAACTGTAACTGCTCTTTAGATCATACATCAACGAAAAGTTATTTTATAAAATAAACATGTAATTAACTAAATGTTTGCAAGTTATTCTCTTCGTTTTCAGTAATTATTACATTTGTTTATAGTAATTTCTAATCGCAAAAATGGCTGCCATCTAAGCACGAACTAGTGACAGTAGCTGAAGTAAAGCAATTGGTCATTACAATACGTTTTGTATGCTGCAAAAACAATAGCAAATGGGTTGAGTCTCAAACCATAAATGGTGATAAAATCAAACCAAAAATTAGTTTGCCATGTTTGCGAAAAATGGGTGCTGTTAATAAGGCAGCATCCAGTAATTAGCGCGGTAAAACAGCTGAATATTACGCTTTTGTTTTTATAGGTACCTATTGTAAAAAAAGAGTGTGTTACATGACTCAGTTCTCCGGTCATAAATGTACATTCTGTAAAATACATAAAACAACAATTATTGGTTGCGTAAATCACAAAACAGATCATTAATGTAATCGTTGACGTTTTTTAATTGGCAATGCGTTCGTGCTTTATACCTACATAATGTGCACATAATGCACGATTTTATTTTTATGACATTGCATAACTCTTTTTGTGCAGTACGTACTAACGTCATTTTTTACATTTTATAAATATTTTAGTAGAGTTGCACCAAATTATTTCCACTTTGGACATGTACATATGTACATATTTTTAAACCTGTAGTCCCTATCTAAGCTCATTCAAAATAATTTTATGGTCCAAGCTTTAAATTTAACCAGTCTTAGGACTGACGACCTTATGATAATGATGAAGCTTTAAATTTAATGATTGTAACATGAAGTAAGAATATATTTATATGCAGCGAACCACACACCTGAACATAGACATTTAAACCCGTCCATTTCCTTGCAATTGTTTAGTTCCAACTGGATTATGTTCGTCAAAATAGCATGAAAAAACGTAAACGTTTTAATTTGTAAATTGTACTACAGATGGAGTTTACCGCGCCATTTGTGGCATTTTATAAAACGTGCCGTTAAGACAGCAAGTAAAATTGGTCTGTGTTCTGTCGCAACCGTCTGCGACGCGCTGATGAGATCCAACAAGATCGAAATCGCGATCCGCATCTAGCAGTTTCGACAGAACACAAACCACTTCGAATTATTCTATTAAACGTTTTAATGGTCAGCTGATTTCAAAATGTTATTTTAGTTCGTAAAGTTTGTGCACATTTTGAATTTCCTTATATTTATAATACGACAAAAAGCTACGAGCATGTTGTCTTTCTTTCTTTTTCCATTCTTGCAATCCAATAACAAGAACAAAGGACTCCGAGTTCCCCAGGTTAATATGAAATACGTACAACGGAAAAAAAACCCATACGTGCTTGCAAATAATACAAATTCCTTTTCACAAACACGTTCTCGTAACTAGATCAAAGGCCATGCTTTTCATCACTCCATTTCAATCCGTCGCGCTTGTTTCAGATTTTTTGTAGAATCGTTATAGTTAGTAAACATAACGATGTTTTTTTTTTTAATTGAAACTGGTAGGTAACAGGAACGTACTAAGTGAAATAGTAGTGGTGAGCTCATAGACATCTAACATAGCAACATAGTGCAAGAGAAAGTCCAAGTCTAGGAGATCCCCTCACCGAATTATCTTAAGGAAATAACATGAGCATCAAGTAATTGACAGTATACTGCCATCTATAAATGTTTGCTACTAACTAAAGTATTTCGTAGTTGGTCTTACGAAGATATCAACTCATTAATTTACATACCTAGTAAGTTGTAGACTCAGTTTGAATACCTAACTCATTGGTTTCTTAACTCATCTCATCTATTGATATGATAGCTTATAGTCACCTGATTAACTTTAGGCTTCATGACTATAAAGCCGCCGTTATGTCGTAGTCCAATTGCCCAACCTTTTCAAGGGTTTGCGTCAGTTCAATTCGGTCTTCAATCTTCGAGTATGGCGTCCAATTGTTTGAAATCAATTTATGATCCATTGTCATCAAAGAGAGCACAATTTTGATCGATTTGGTGTCATTTGATGTAAGACATGATTAAAAAGTAATGAGTTATTTGATTTTGAAATCGCCCATTAATCCCATCTATCACACATTCTATGAAATATTACAGTTAGTGGTAAATATCTATAGATGGCGATATACTGGCAATTCCTTTATATTAGTCAACTTGTTTGGGTGAAGACGTTGTTATTTGTAATTTATAAATGAGAACTAGTTAGTGGTAAATACCTATAGATGGCGATATAGTGACAATTGCTTTATATTAGTCAACTTGTTTGGGTGAAGACACTGTTATTTGTAATTTACAAATGAGAACTAGGTCATAAACTCGAAAAAGACAGACCCCACATTCTAACTAAAAACTTAACGTTCTTCAATATTAGAAGTAATCAATCATCTCAAGAATTTACCAGATAAAAAATGTTTGTAGTTCGAACGTTTCCAAACATCTTTTTACATAATATTTATTGAAGAAAATAATCAGAAATCCATCAAGGACGGTAATAAAGACGAAAACTATAAAAACACATTGTAGGTACTGTGCAATTTCTAGGAAACATTAATATGTTTTATAATTGCTTACCGAAGCAAATACGACTCGTTACAAAATGCAATTTTTCTCCTCGTCGACAATCTGCAAATTAAGATTAGCTAGCTGTGCGATTGCGTGTAATAAACCTTGAATGTTTAACGCCATATAACTTCTTCGGATTTGCTTTTATTCATGAGAAAAAAAAATACTGAGGAAATCAATTGATTGACGATAAAGGAATTCTGAAAAGTATTACATAAGAATTATTTTATCAATCATTCATAAAGGAACTCTAAACAATTCTACGTTTTGTANCTTCGCGCAGATTTCTTCAAGGTCACAATTCTAACAAACTGAAATGGACTGTAACTGACTGTAATCAGCTTTTTCTCAACGTCACCTAAACTGGATAATATTAAAACGTTAAACATTACCTTTAATTCGGTTTGAAAGAAAGGAAGATTTTCGCCCTCTTTGGTGATTTTGTGGTGTATCAATTGTGCTCTGATGTGGGCCTCGATGATGTGACTCTTCCTCATATCGCCCACTCGGAACATAAGGCATGGGATGCCATCACGATGACATATGACCGCATTGCGTGAAAACAGCAAAGTTTGCGTTCTCTTCTGCGGCCTCGAGATCTTCGCGAAAACAACGCCCACCATGAACGCCTGAATCATGACTCCCGTGATGCTTTGCAAGCACATGATGAAGATGGCTTCGGGACATTCTTCAGTTATCAGACGTCCACCGAAACCTATTGTGTGCTGCGTTTCGACACTGAAGAGGAAACACGACGTGAAACCGTTGATGTTTGTCACGCAAGGCGCCCATGTTGAGTTAGGATTCTGTGAAAGAAATTGGAGGTAATATTGTTGATGGTCTTTAGGCCACATGAAATAACTGCTGAAGTAAAAAATTGATGCCTATCGGTAATAATTAAATTTCAAACAAGTTCGATTGCGTAATTTGCACTGCAGTGCTGTCATCAAACAAAATTCGATTCGTTATTGTGTCAGCTACGTCGGTTTCAAATTTACATATTCATCGCATCCGGTGGGAAACAGCAGTGAAGTGTCTGTCATTCTGATTTCGTCAGTTATTGTTCTTTCTAATTATTTATTGAATCAATTCAGCAAACTCGGAAAATATCGTGAGTACAGGGTGTCACAAAATGGGTTCAGTTTCTAAAAAAAGTACCGTTTCTGGATGGCCTTGTGCAAAATCTCCATGACTTAACATGACGAACCACCACACGACGGCGAACATGAGCCAAGAGAGGAGGAAACTCATGGAGAAGACCATGAGGGTCCACCTCCACTGAGCGTCGACCAGGGTTGTAAAAATGTCTTGGAGGTACCTTCTTCTTCTCTTGGCAACATTACCTTGAACAACGTTACAATCTCCATGCTTGAATACTACCCTCTTTCGTATTCTTCTAGCGTTGAACCTCGACTGACGATATCTGTAAGAATAAAACCGAAACTAAATCCTTTAAATCCTCATTTTAAGTCATATGTTTTGAAGGTCAGGAGTATGATACTCCAGTTGATAAATAATTCAGAAAATAAAGACATACACTGCGTAACTAAAGTAAAATTATTTTGGCTGAGATTGGTCTCATGTGACCAGTGTGCTTTGGCCTAGGCGTTAATTAATATCAAATATTAGATCACATCACTATGACGACTAATGTTAGCTATATATTTATAACAACGTCAATTAAGATGGCTAAAATGGAAACCCCAAGATAACGACAAAAACATCTAATAATGGAAGCATTGATGGTCCTCAAAGATCAGAGGGGTAACAGAATAATATGAACGTTTCCAAAAGTCTTATGAATTTTCGAAAAACATCTTTGGTGTTCCACAAACAGCTCCTACCTGTAATGTATTTTCCCAATTTTGGCATTTTGATAAACCAACGATACCAAAAGAATCAAATAAACAAGGTATTTGGCAAAAAGGGTTTATTTTATTCATGTTTTTTTACTGATCAAGGAGAATAGGGAAGAACGAGACATTAGTTTTATTTGGTTTGCAAAACATTGTTTTCTATTCACCTATTCCATTCTTCTCTCCACGTTTTCTCCGATGAGGTGGCGGTTTTCGCCACTTTCATGGACAACTGCGAGAGGCAACGTTTAAGCCCAAAAAATCCATCAGAAACCCCGACGTTCAGATGGCCGTCTGGCATTTCTAACTTTAGAACGAGACAGTTCTGCACTACCCAGCCGTTATATCAAACATAATTATTGGTCGAACGGACGGATATTTTTAAAACACGGCCTCGCAGACATGTTTTCAAGTTTAACAAAATCGCGACAAAAGACTCTATCTTACAAAACAGTCAGCGAACCGGTAGGAAACAATAGTAGAACGAATGCACTCGATTTTTGGCCCGATCGATCGAAAAACCATTCTTATCGATCGGAGGATCGATGGAGGTCTAGGTTACTGAACAACTGACGCCAGCGCCTCGAAAAATTGGTACCGTACACAAATGTTATGTTATTGTATGTTACGAACATCGTACACAATAACGTCCAGACAGGTGGCTTTGGCTTCCAATTTTGACTTTTGGATTTTCTGCGCACGTGCTTATTATTATGAGTTATTCTAGGAAAGGCAATGTTACAGTTGTCTGTACTTTATTAAAACGATCCCAAATGGTACAGAAATGCATGGTGTATTATGATTTTCGTTTTTGTGAACCATTTGGAGTTAGTTAAATTATTTGCCGGTAATCTAACGCATTCAAAACGACTGTGCACACATATAAGTGTAAGAAATAATAAATAACAAATACAGTGATAACAGTATGTACTTCAATAACAAACACAATCGATCGCGTGTTAATTTTCATAAACTTTACGCAGTTATTTAGCTCACTATTATTATCAAAACTAACAATAGTTTGTTAGACCAAAGTGCAACAATAATAATAATAACACTTTTAAAAACAGTTAGGCTCCAACAACCGAATATGACAAAACTTTAGGAATCCTTAAGGAATTTCTTGTTACACGTCCCTTAAACTTTCAAAAAATTTTTCATCATTCTATTTCTAGCTTCATTATTACAAAATCTTACGAAAAAAAAAACGTAACATTTTGTTGCACGTTTCATTAATGCGTATAGCAAGTGAAGTGCCAAAAAACCACATCACATTAAAATATCGTCTTAAAATGCGAATAATAAACAAATTATTATTGTAAACAACAGATACAAATATAGCGCCAGAAATGTCAAAAGAACTCTCACAGTTTAAATATTTATACGAAAATTCACCACAATAAAGTACATAAACGTTTGAAATTTGCAAAAAAGCCAATAGCACAATTACTTATTATTCGTTCCTTTGGTAACGTCTGTGATTTAGTTTTCAACGTTTTCCTATTTTTATGTCTCAATCTGAGGAAGTACAATATGAGGAAAGGCGTCAGAGAAGGATTCAAACTGTTACTACTTCAGGACAACTTTAAGAATAGATATACAGGGCGAAAGATTAGTATATTTAAATAAAATACCGATATACAAAGGAAGAAATAGGGAAAGAGTGAATATAAAAATCGGAGACGAAAAATTAAAAGAAGTGACTGATTTTAGATATCTAGGAAGTCATCAGATAGTTCAGGATAGAAGGAGCAGTAGAGATATAAGACAGAAGATAGTGCAGAATCATACACAATGGTCATGAACAGTAATTTTAGAAATTCGAAAAAGATTGTTAAAAGTTTATGTCTGGAACTCTAGAGAACGACCTGGGCGCGGCAAAAAAGAAAAGGTTAGAACCGTTGGAAATTTGATGTTACATGTAGATGATGAGGATACCGTGGATAGATGGTACAAAAAAAGNAGTAATCAAAAAACGAACTAGTGCAAACGAGTGTTACGAGTGTTACGACAGCGTAGAAGAAAACTGTAAAAATATCACTTGTTTTTTCTTCTTACTCCAAAATTTGTCATTATATAAGAAAACTAAACAAAAAATGTCACTTGAAACAGGTGGAAATCGAAATAATTCTCTTGCGATGTTATAGAAATATAAAATCAAATCAAATATAAAATCAAGACTACTACTACATTAAAATTCCATCTAGTAATCAAAAAACGAACTAGTGCAAACGAGTGTTACGAGTGTTACGACAGCGTAGAAGAAAACTGTAAAAATATCACTTGTTTTTTCTTCTTACTCCAAAATTTGTCATTATATAAGAAAACTAAACAAAAAATGTCACTTGAAACAGGTGGAAATCGAAATAATTCTCTTGCGATGTTATAGAAGTATAAAATCAAATCAAATATAAAATCAAGACTACTACTACATTAAAATTCCATCTAGTAATCAAACGGCGAACTAGTGCAAACGAGTGTTACGACAGCGTAGAAGAAAACCATAAAAATACCACTTGTTTTTTCTTCTTGTTCCAAAATTTGCTATTTTTGAATAAGCTACGATGCAATTAAACGTTTATTTTTTGAAAATAGAACACATTTAGCCTTATATTGTGTCATTTCCTTGACTGTAAATACTTTTGAAGAAATTATTCACTATCAGACAGTCCGATGTAGGTCATGCTTTTAATAAATTCGAAGAAAAAAATATTAATACTAGATTAATTAATTGCCGAGCAAGTGTTAAATGTACCCAAGTAACTGTTTGATCTTTTTTTTAAAATTGTACAATTAAATGGCAAAAACAGGTGATCAATTTACTTGGTAGGTACATAGTGTAGTAAATATCTGATAATTCGACCCAAAAATCTAAATTCCTAGGCGTCAAAACAATTGTTGTTAAAAACAGAACTAAAATTAAAAACGGCTTGGTTACTGCATGGTTGTAAAATAATAAACAAGCATCATCATATGATATGGTCGTCAGTCCTAAGACACTCTTTTCTATCCTGAGCTAAACTTCGCATTTCCCTAAAACTAGAAAAACCCATATCCTTAACAATTTGCGAACAGTAATCTAATCTAGATCTACCTCTACCCCTCCTAACTCCTGTTTCTGCCTCTAATATGTCTCTGACTAGACCTTCATGCCTAAGAAGGTGTCCTACTAACCTATCTCGCCTATTTCATATTGACTTCCATAAAGTCCTCTGTTCTCCTATTCTTTCTAATACCTCTTCATTTCTAACCTTTTCTTTTCCGCCGCGCCTGCTGTCCATGTTTCGCACCCGTACAACGCCACGCTCCAAACATACACCTTAAACAACCTTTTTCCAATTTCTAAATTAACCGTTCGCGAGCATGGAAGTGACTTGTTTTTATTAAATAAACAAATCAACAAGAATCTATTTGTGATAGTTGGGCATCTTCCTCGTAAAAGTTGCAAACATTGCAATAAAAGATTGCGTTAGTCAACAAAAATGCATTTAGTAGACAATCGTGATGACGTTCGTCATGGCGGATGACAGTCTTTTTTTTTATGATGCTTACCTACTGAAGACGTGTCCATTGTTGGAGTCTCCTTTAGATCCGGCGATGGACATCCGGATGCCTTTATGAATGGATTCTAGGAGGCTAGAACTGGAGCGCCTGCGCCCGTCTATGGAAGGCACCGGCAAAACCATCGGAACTGATCCATTGTTCAATAGTTTGTCTAGTTGACCGGCACCATCACCGGATGCACGGTCACTATCACGGCCAAGATCGTCCGGTACATGTCCACTTATTAATTCAGCGTTCGTCATATCTTTTTTCTTATTCTTTATACTTCGTTTGTTATCGAACACACAACTTGATTTCAATTAATTAATTAATATTATCTACTACTATCTGCTACTGGTAATAAAAAGGCAAGAGTAAGGTACATTTTCGACTAGTATGAAACAATTTTATTTTTGGAAATAGAGAATACTGATTGAAGATTTATGGACTGTCCGGGTCACAGTCAGAACTGCGTCCGTCAAGTAACTTTTCTGTAGATTTTTATGGTCTTCTCTGTCACGTGAACAGCCATTTCTGAAACAATAATAAATTAATTTTAATTTGGATTGCACAAATTTAAATAAGTGTAAAATACTTCAATTTTATTAGAATATTCGTTTGATTTTCGTGACTACCAATAAATACATGGGTACTCTGATTTTTTTATCTCAAGATTTATCTACATTAAAATTACTCTTGTGGATTCTCATCCATTACGATAAAATAACAAATATCTAGATGTTCACAATAAAACCGAATGAAGTCCATTAGTTATTAAACAGAGTGAGAATTTTGTACAGCTTCAAACAAACTTCAAAGTAAAAGGTTCAANGCTACCTACTAATAAAAAAAGGCGTTTCCTATAAACGATTGTGGCCACTTATGTATCTATTTTTGTTTATCGAGTGTCGTTATCATCACGAGTGCCTTCTGGAACGTAATTCAAAGCTTTATTGACGCGGTGTGAAGTTAATGAGATTAAGTTTTACGTCCCCATCAGTTTTCCTCTCGGAAAATTCATTTTCATACCTATCGACCCACTTGTTATTAATGGCATGGCTTAAGCTTTAAGCGATCTCTTTACGTCAATGTCTATCATTATTGTTATTTTATCATTGTTTATTATTGCGACAGCAGGTATATATACATGCATCGATACGAGACGTTTTTATCTAATGTTTGAATTACGATAGCCGAAACAAAAATGACAAAAATTAATTCGATAGATTGGATAATGTAATTTAAAAATAAAATAAATCGTGAAACGCTGTACAAGCGACATCTAGTGGTTGATAGACGTAGTTTGACAAGCAATTATTACGCTTTGACTCATACACCTATTGTGAAAGAAAACTGTAACTGCTCTTTAGATCATACATCAACGAAAAGTTATTTTATAAAATAAACATGTAATTAACTAAATGTTTGCAAGTTATTCTCTTCGTTTTCAGTAATTATTACATTTGTTTATAGTAATTTCTAATCGCAAAAATGGCTGCCATCTAAGCACGAACTAGTGACAGTAGCTGAAGTAAAGCAATTGGTCATTACAATACGTTTTGTATGCTGCAAAAACAATAGCAAATGGGTTGAGTCTCAAACCATAAATGGTGATAAAATCAAACCAAAAATTAGTTTGCAATGTTTGCGAAAAATGGATGCTGTTAATAAGGCAGCATCCAGTAATTAGCGCGGTAAAACAGCTGAATATTACGCTTTTGTTTTTATAGGTACCTATTGTAAAAAAAGAGTGTGTTACATGACTCAGTTCTCCGGTCATAAATGTACATTCTGTAAAATACATAAAACAACAATTATTGGTTGCGTAAATCACAAAACAGATCATTAATGTAATCGTTGACGTTTTTTAATTGGCAATGCGTTCGTGCTTTATACCTACATAATGTGCACATAATGCACGATTTTATTTTTATGACATTGCATAACTCTTTTTGTGCAGTACGTACTAACGTCATTTTTTACATTTTATAAATATTTTAGTAGAGTTGCACCAAATTATTTCCACTTTGGACATGTACATATGTACATATTTTTAAACCTGTAGTCCCTATCTAAGCTCATTCAAAATAATTTTATGGTCCAAGCTTTAAATTTAACCAGTCTTAGGACTGACGACCTTATGATAATGATGAAGCTTTAAATTTAATGATTGTAACATGAAGTAAGAATATATTTATATGCAGCGAACCACACACCTGAACATAGACATTTAAACCCGTCCATTTCCTTGCAATTGTTTAGTTCCAACTGGATTATGTTCGTCAAAATAGCATGAAAAAACGTAAACGTTTTAATTTGTAAATTGTACTACAGATGGAGTTTACCGCGCCATTTGTGGCATTTTATAAAACGTGCCGTTAAGACAGCAAGTAAAATTGGTCTGTGTTCTGTCGCAACCGTCTGCGACGCGCTGATGAGATCCAACAAGATCGAAATCGCGATCCGCATCTAGCAGTTTCGACAGAACACAAACCACTTCGAATTATTCTATTAAACGTTTTAATGGTCAGCTGATTTCAAAATGTTATTTTAGTTCGTAAAGTTTGTGCACATTTTGAATTTCCTTATATTTATAATACGACAAAAAGCTACGAGCATGTTGTCTTTCTTTCTTTTTCCATTCTTGCAATCCAATAACAAGAACAAAGGACTCCGAGTTCCCCAGGTTAATATGAAATACGTACAACGAAAAAAAAAAACCCATACGTGCTTGCAAATAATACAAATTCCTTTTCACAAACACGTTCTCGTAACTAGATCAAAGGCCATGCTTTTCATCACTCCATTTCAATCCGTCGCGCTTGTTTCAGATTTTTTGTAGAATCGTTATAGTTAGTAAACATAACGATGTTTTTTTTTAATTGAAACTGGTAGGTAACAGGAATGTACTAGGTGAAATAGTAGTGGTGAGCTCATAGACATCTAACATAGCAACATAGTGCAAGAGAAAGTCCAAGTCTAGGAGATCCCCTCACCGAATTATCTTAAGGAAATAACATGAGCATCAAGTAATTGACAGTATACTGCCATCTATAAGTGTTTGCTACTAACTAAAGTATTTCGTAGTAGGCCTTACAAAGATATCCACTCATTGATTTACATACCTAGTAAGTTGTAGACTCAGTTTGAATACCTAACTCATTGGTTTCTTAACTCATCTCATCTATTGATATGATAGCTTATAGTCACCTGATTAACTTTAGGCTTCATGACTATAAAGCCGCCGTTATGTCGTAGTCCAATTGCCCAACCTTTTCAAGGGTTTGCGTCAGTTCAATTCGGTCTTCAATCTTCGAGTATGGCGTCCAATTGTTTTCAATCAATTTATGATCCATTGTCATCAAAGAGAGCACAATTTTGATCGATTTGGTGTCATTTGATGTAAGACATGATTAAAAAGTAATGAGTTATTTGATTTTGAAATCGCCCATTAATCCCATCTATCACACATTCTATGAAATATTACAGTTAGTGGTAAATATCTATAGATGGCGATATACTGGCAATTCCTTTATATTAGTCAACTTGTTTGGGTGAAGACGTTGTTATTTGTAATTTATAAATGAGAACTAGTTAGTGGTAAATACCTATAGATGGCGATATAGTGACAATTGCTTTATATTAGTCAACTTGTTTGGGTGAAGACACTGTTATTTGTAATTTACAAATGAGAACTAGGTCATAAATTCGAAAAAGACAGATCCAACATTCTAACTAGAAACTTAACGTTCTTCAATATTAGAAGTAATCAATCATCTCAAGAATTTACCAGATAAAAAATGTTTGTAGTTCGAACGTTTCCAAACATCTTTTTACATAATATTTATTGAAGAAAATAATCAGAAATCCATCAAGGACGGTAATAAAGACGAAAACTATAAAAACACATTGTAGGTACTGTGCAATTTCTAGGAAACATTAATATGTTTTATAATTGCTTACCGAAGCAAATACGACTCGTTACAAAATGCAATTTTTCTCCTCGTCGACAATCTGCAAATTAAGATTAGCTAGCTGTGCGATTGCGTGTAATAAACCTTGAATGTTTAACGCCATATAACTTCTTCGGATTTGCTTTTATTCATGAGAAAAAAAAATACTGAGGAAATCAATTGATTGACGATAAAGGAATTCTGAAAAGTATTACATAAGAATTATTTTATCAATCATTCATAAAGGAACTCTAAACAATTCTACGTTTTGTATGTTTTGATTTCCAGACATACATTTAGTAAACAACCAAAAACATAATAAAAATTATGCTCAACTGTTTCAGTCATAAAATATATAGGTAGGTACAAATTATGGACATACCTGTAGAATAATGGCGATGATGTAATATACAAATAATGATTTCTATCATTTTTAATTTGTCCAGGAAATTTGCTAGTTACAATCTTCATTATAAAAACACTTGATGCAAACCAAACAAATGCTTTGAAATGAAAAGAATGGTTATTGAGACGGAATGTGTTGAAGCAACATACTTTAACATTTAAAATAAGGACTTAAGTAATTTAAGTAAGACATTTTTAAGAGATCAGCGACTTTCATCAAAAAAGAGAACGGTCGCAGACCGGGTAATTTGTTGTTTTAACGTTTAAGTAGAAGATGTAACTAAATGTAAGTAGGATATGAATTACAATGTACTTACAATGAAATATATGATAGAAATAAAAGATTTACAGTAGGGTTTATTAACTTTATTAGCCAAATCGAAGAAGCTTTTAAAGAGCAAGAACTGATGCGATCTAAATAGATCAAAATCACGATCCGACAAGTTTAAATCGTAAAATCTTGATTGGTATAGACTTATCTAACAAATAAAATACTTTAGTAACAGCAAATACCCACTAGATGGCTGCACACTGTCAGTTGAGTTATATTTCGATTTTGTTTTGTTTTCCCATTTATGTGTGATTTATGTAAATACTAAAGCATTTCTTCTTTTCGTTTCAGGGGGCAACAAGGCAATGAATGGTGAGTGATTTTTATTAAAATAAACTTTTTAAATATTTCCAATTGAAGAAAATATGCACGCTTAATGCAGTTAATGTTTTTCCAAACACTTTCTGCCATTTCTTGACTTTGAAGTAGTTACGTTAGGTTGACAAACACTATGATTACTACTATTAGCAGTAGTCATGTATAGATGGCGTTATAGCGTCAATTACTTGATATTTCGCATTTATTACCACTCAGTGTTATTAAGGGTCCAACTGCCTCAAAATACAACGAAAATTCAAACGATTTCCTTGCACTTAATTGAACCGATACAGACTGCACTTTATCGATTGTAAGATGTATGTGTGCTGGTAATCGATTACTTCCTTATTAAAATAATTAATTAGTTTGTTTATTCTACTATTTTACGTAATGTTTAATATACTTAATGCATTAAATACCTGAATTCCGAAGAGGCAAGAAAAAGGTAATTGATTGTCATCAGTTTTGGCGGAATTATTCATTTGTCTAGTTACGTCATTCTTATGTATCCTTTTATAAATCTTACGAATTGAATCGATCGCTTT